ACTCGATGCCAATGCAGGCCTTTGGGAACATTGACCAGGTGAGTTCAGGGAGTGGATGGAACTGTGGCTTCCTTCTTTTCCCCGTGTGTGCCTCCAGTAGGAACATGTGACGCAGGGACATCTAATGGGGAGATAAGACCCTAGCTTACTCTGTTTTACCCACCTGTGCCATGTTCCCTCCCCCCCTAGGCCATGTTTTACGCTGTGACACCACTGGCCTGGTGTCCCCATTTGGTGGCAGTATGCCCCATTCCTGAAGCAGGCTTGGATGTGACCCAACCTTGTCAGGACTGTGGAGCACCTCAGGAGAACTGGGTGTGTCTGTCTTGCTACGAGGTATGCAGCAGAGAATGGGGATGGGGCTGAGGTTGGCCCAGGGACAAACCACAGGTAGGTGCTGATCCCTGCCCAACATTCCCTCCCTCCCTCAGGTCTACTGCAGCCGTTACATCAACGCCCACATGGTCCGGCACTACGAAAGCTCGAGCCACCCACTGGTCCTCAGCTACACTGACCTGTCTACCTGGTGTTACCCATGTCAGGCCTATGTTCACCACCAGGTGAGCCCCAGGCAGGAGCCTCTAATGTGCACACTCACTCCCCCCACACACACACCCTTCTGCATGTGGGCTGGTCCAGGAGACAGGGTGGTTAAGGGCTGGCTGAGGTAGAGGGGGTCCTCACTCTCTCTTCCCACCCTCTCTTGCCTCCTCCTCAGACTCTCCTAGAGGTGAAGAACGTCGCCCACCAGAACAAGTTCGGGGAAGACATGCCCCACTCACACTAACTCCCAACGTGCTCCTCTGCTCCGCCTTCCGAGGCCAAGATAGACCAGCGTTAGTTCGTTCCAACTTGTACCTTGGACGAGGGGCAGCTTCATCCATCTTTCCTGAAACCCCTTTCCAACCCCCCAAGGGTGCTGATTGAAGTTTAAATACCTGTTAAGAGGACTGTGATGGTTAATTGTAGCTCTCCCCCTGCCCACCGACTGCTCTAGGGGCTCCCATCTGTTCTGCCCCGGAGAGAACGGGATAGCTTAGTTGCCTCAGAGGGGCTGATATCAAGAAGATGATACTCTGGAGGGAGTGGGAAGCAAGGGGCAGGTATAGTGGGGTTGCATATGTAATAAAGTACAAGCTGTTACAAAACCTGGCGGGAGCCGTTTTTATTGACTGTTTTCATTGATTTTTAGAGAACAAGAAAGGGAGAGAGAGAAACATCGATTGGATGCCTCCTGCATGCCCCCTGTGGGGTGTCAAGCACAAAACCCAGTCACATGCCCTGATCAGGAATTGAACCCGCAACCTTTCAGTGCACAGGACCATGTTCAACCAACTGAGCCACACTGCCCAGGCCTGGAGAAAGCCTTTTAATCATGAGTAGGAGGAGAACCCCACACTCCTGGCCAACAGGACATAGGTGTCTGTCAGGTCAACCCCCTGCTCACAGTGTGACTGGATCCAGTATACATTAAATGGTAGAATCCGTGAGGAAACAAGTGCCTTAGAAATAGGAGCCTCACAGTCAGGCCTCAGTCTCCCCACCTGTCTTTTTCTGATTTGGATGAGGGGCATGTTCAGGTTTAACATACTTAAATTTTGTAATCACGGGTAGCAGCTTCTTGGGGGAAGGGATACCTACTATGGACCAAGGGCTGGGAAATGGAGGACAGTTTGGAGGTTTTATTTCTCCCACATGAGAATTTGGCAACTCAAGTCCAAGGCTGAGGTTTTCTGGACTTTTCAAGGCCATATTATGGCCCCAAAATGATCACAGAGCCCCACCCAAGCAAGAAGAAGGGGAATGGGGAAGGGGAAGGGAGCTGTGGCTAGCTCAGTCCTTCCTTTAAGCAACGTTCTGGATGCCCCCTCCAGCAACCCCTGCTTACATCTCATTGGTCAGATCTGTGACTGTGATAGCTGCAAGGGAGTCTGGGGAATTTAGCCTTGGCACATGTCTGCCTCATACCAGACTGTATGCCCTGACAGAATAACCACTCCTCTGCCACTCTTTCCCTCCAGGCACGGACATGATGCTCTCTGGCGCCTTTCCCTCCAGGAACAGACCCTCTCCCCAGCTACCAAAAAAGCCTGCTTGCCGCAGCGCAGGCTCCGTGGCCTCAAAGAGGCCCTTCCAAAACACTTCCCAAAGCCTAGCCACTCAGGTCAAAAATCCAATCCGCCACCCCAAATACACTAAAACCCCCAAACCGCAGCCCCAATCAGGGCAAGGTAAGGGCGAGGCGCAGCCCCACGCAGAGGGCACACGCAGAGGGCACACGCGCAGGTCTGGCCTGGGCAGCGCACCCCGATCAGACGGCACCAGCCGGCAGGGCAAGACCTGCGCTCGCCCGCTCACTCCGGGCGGGGGGCGAGCGAGGGGAGGGGAGCTGCCGGGCCGGGCCAGGGGGCGGGCCAGGCGCATGCGTATCCCCCGCCCCCTGCTCTCTGCTAGGGGGTAGTGCTGCCCCTCTCGCACTGCTGGTCCTGTCAGAGCCGCAGCGAGTTCGGGTCCCAGCGCAACTCCTCTCCCGGACTGAGGTGAGCCACTGGCCGGGTCCCCAGCCGAGCCCAGCCCGACCCGGGAGGGCTCTCCCCCTAGGGCTGTAGGTGGTTTTTAGGGGACCCTTCCTCTTCTGCCGCTCCTCCTGGGGGGGGGGGGGCGCCACCACATCCCAGCCCTCCCGCCTCCAGCTTAGTGGAGGCCGAGCTGGGTCGGGACGGACGTGCAGGCCGGAATGGGGCTGAGAACCCGCAGACCCAGCCTCAGGGTGAGGGGCTCCTTCCCGTACCCGCCCCCCGTCCCGCCTAAGAGAAACTGGCCGAGATGGTCCGAACTGGGCACAGGGTCAGGGATTTAGGGTAAAATTGGGGAGTCAGTCCTTCCTGCCCCAAACTCCACTGCACCTGGCTCCGTCCCAGGGAAGCACGGTGGAGGGGTCCCGGGCTAGCTCTGCAAGGGGGGCTTGTAAGGGCTCCCATTGGGGTGGTCCCCCCACCCCCACTCCCCCTAAACCTGCCACCCCCCAACCCACCCCCCACAGGTAGCTAGGCGAACACAAAGGACACACAAAGGATGCGGTCCTGGCAGTGGGGATGGGGGTGGGGTGCGGTGGGGTGGGGGAGGGGGGTCTCCGGGACTTAAGAACCCCATAATGATACTCCAATAGCAGCAAGTGGCTGCGAAGGTGAGACCTGCCCTCTGTGGGTCCCTGATGGGCTGTGGGACCTCAGGCTTCTCCGAGCCCCCCTCGCTGCTCCCCATCCATAGAGCGGCTGCGCGGATGGTCGCCCACTCCTCGCCAGTGTGTCAGGAGGCCTGGGTGTTGGCATGGCCGGCAGGTAGATGGGTTCTCAGGAAATAATACCTAGTGCTTTTAGAGTCACAGTCACAGCCCTGGCAACTTGCCGAGCGGGAAGAGCCCATCCCAAACGTCCCCACCCTCCGATAATGGAACCCCCGGATTTCCATCGGCCCGGGCCCCAAGCTCAGGAGCCATCCGTGACCCCCCTCCCCGGCCTCTGAATTTCACCTGCCAGCTCATTCCACCTTCGGAATAGACCAGAATCCTCTCCGCATCCACCCTCACCGCCGCCTCCCAGTTTGTCCTCAGAGCTAAATCTCCCTCTTTCTGTCTCCCCAACGTTGGGGACCCCCCAGAACTCTGTCCTGTTTAACTCTTTCCTCGCCACGCCCCCTTCTCGGGCCAGCACATCCGATAACTTTGCAGGGCTCCCTCGGGCGGAGGACCACACAGCTGGGCCTTACTGGCCTCTGGCTCCGAAACTCAACACAAACACACACACCCACCCCTAAATTGCCATCGCTCCTGGCTTTCCTGGGAGAGCGGCCATTCAGATGCATTTCCTGAGGCCACACGCTGGACGGAGATCAGGATGTGTATTGAATGAGGGAACGGTGATTTGCTATTAATAGATAACACTCATTTCGCTGGGCGCCTGCTGTGTGTCCATGCACTTCTAATTGCTCAGTAATTTACTTATCTTGTTTACAGTCTCTTTCTCACTTTTCAAATCTAATCCTCTCCGGGGCAGGAACTTTATTTTGTTTACCGCCCCGTACCCACCGCCACACCTCCCACTGCCCCCATCCCCACATCCGCCACCATGCCCGGTGTGCCAGGAGCTTCCTGCAGTAATGAATGAAAACGGGATCCTAACAGAAATGCTATCATGAGCCGAGCACCTCTGCATGCTTCCCACCTGTTGCTGAAATATCTCTGTTGTTTTCTGTCTTCCTGACTGCATGCGCACATTCTTGAGGGCCGAGGTTTGGTGTCTGTCCCCTCCACCCCCACCCCCACCTTGCCACGCGGTAGGTTCCTGGCAGCGGCGTGTTGAATAGGCAATAAAGACTGAATGTTAGACACCGGCTTACAGACCTCATAATTTGCTTATTTATTTGGTTCACTGTCCCCACCTTTTAGGGCATATGCTCCCCGGGGAGGGATGGGGAGGCAGGAATATTGCTCAGCTCTTACTGGGTGACAGGCATTGTGCTGGGCTGGGCTGGGCTTCAACAGTTAAAAACTCAAAGCCAAGCCAACGAAATCTGATGGCGGGGGGTGGGGTAGAGGGGGGGTCGTCCCTTTTGGGGTGAAGAAAATGTTCCAAAATTAGGTTGCTGATGGCTGCACAGCTCCGTGAATATACTGAGTCATTGATTGTACACTTTAACTAGGTTAACTTATGGTGTAAAAACTATCTCAACAAAGCTGTTTTTAAAACCCCTGCCTGCCCAGAGCTTTAGGTAGCAGAAGGGAGGGAGAGAAAATCATATAAATAATGGGTGTAGCATATTAGACGGTGATTAGCACGCGCTGGGCACTCAGTGAGTGTTGACTCAGTGACCCCAGCTGCCCTCTGTCCTCATGGTCTCCTCACCTAAACTCCCCCTGCCTGGCCCCCGCTCCCCCCCATTGTGTGTCTCCTCTTCCCAGCCGCAGGGCCTGCTGTCTGCATCTCTTCTCTTCCCTGAGCATGGCGCGCCCCAAAAAGCCTAGCATGCTTGATCTGGGCCTGGGCACCTGGAGCCCTGGCAGCCAGGAGGAGAGCCGCAAGGCTCCGGCACCTTCCAGGGGCAAGCAGCTGCCGGAGTACAAGGCCGTGGTGGTGGGCGCCAGTGGGGTGGGCAAGAGCGCGCTGACCATCCAGCTGAACCACCAGTGCTTCGTGGAAGACCACGACCCCACGATCCAGGATTCCTACTGGAAGGAGGTGACCCTGGACCACGGCGGCTACATCCTGAATGTGCTGGATACGGCCGGCCAGCCCACGCACAAGGCCCTGCGAGACCAGTGCCTGGCTGCGGGGGATGGCGTGTTGGGTGTCTTCGCCCTGGATGACCCGGCGTCCCTAACGCAGCTGCAGCAGATGCGGGCCACCTGGGGCCCTCACTACACCCGGCCCCTCGTCCTCGTGGGCAACAAGTGCGACCTGGTGACCGCCGCCGGAGAGGCCCGTGCCGCCGCCGTGGCCCTGGCCAAGAGCTGGGGGGCCCCCTTCGTGGAGACCTCGGCCAAAACCCGCCAGGGTGTGGAGGAGGCCTTCGCCCTGCTCATCCACGAGATCCAGAAGGTGCAGGAGGCCGTGGCCAAGGAGCCTGAGAGTAAGTCCCGCCACCAGAAGACCATGTGTCACTGCGGCTGCTCCGTGGCCTGAAGGTCTCGGTCAGAAACACGGACCGTCCCCCGGGCCAGGGGGATGCCTCCTTGCCGTGAGAACCCCAAGACTAGCTGTGTGGGACACCGGGTGTATTTAGGATAGCTGGACCCCTCTTCCGGGGGGGAGGGGGTTGTTCGGTGGCGGGCTTTTTGTTATTGTGGAAGATACTGTTGGTTATGTTTTGTCAAGCTCGGAGATTTTGTGGAAAATGAAATAAATGGCGTTCTCAGGTTTCAAAGCTGCCTCCGTGCCGAGCATTGTGTGGGGGGTGGGGGGGTGCGAAACTGGGTAGAATGGTCGTTGGATCGGGAGAGCTCGTTCATTCAAGAAATGGGGGGAAGGCCGCTGTGTGCCGGGCCTGGCTTTGGATGCAGACACGCACACACACACACACACACGTACACAGTCCCTGCCCTTGTATGACACAAGGCTATGTATTAAAGGCAGGTGAAGGGATAAAGCAGAACAGGGAGGTCAAGGAACGCCTTACTGAGTAGGTGACATTAACTCGCAGGTAACTAGGGGCAGAGCAAACGGCCAATGCAAAGGCCGTGACCACAGACCAGCTGCCAACACCACCTCCGGGACCTCCAGAACTGGGTAATACGGATAGGGTGGCTTCTACCCAATGGAAATATGTAAACATTATAGGTCAAGCTGTCAATCTTGACAAATAACTTTTTTTTTCTTCTCAGTTCTGGCACTGCTGTTTCATGCCAGTTTGTGAATGGGAGGGGAGGGCTGACAACAGGGGCGTGGGCATAGGTGGGGAGGGGTTTGGGATGGGAATGGGGGGATGAGGACAAATATGTGATACCTTAATCAATGAAGAAATTTAAACAATAATAAAAAAAAAAAAGAGCAACCCTCACCAACCCCTAGAAACTGAGACAATGCATAGCTGCTTTAGATCTTATTTATTGTGGGGCGCGCGGTGGCAATTTTGGGGCGTTCTGAGGGCAGTAACTACGGCTGGGGGTGGGGACCTGGGGGTGTTGGGGGAGGGGTGGCCATGGGTACCCGCTGGCGGGGGAGCAGCCCAGCCAGCGGCTGAGGAGCCATCGGGTGTTGGGGGAGGAGCGGGCAGCAGGAGGGGGGGGGGCAGGAGCGATCGAGGGCCCTGGCCAGAGGGGTTGGGGTGTCGGGGGCGGGAGGAGGGGTAGCCCTGGACCCGAGGGCCAGCAGGATCCCCGGCGGTGCTCAGGGCGGCAGGAGGCGGCGCGCCAGGGGCGCGGGGGTCTCCAGGCGCTTCACGCGCAGCAGCGCCCCCAGCACCCCGTCAGGCGGCACCTCCGGGCCCAGGTCCTGGTCGGCGGCGGCGCGGCGGAGGCGGCGGCGCTGGGTAGCCCCCGCCTCGGCATCCGGGCTTCCCGAGAGGATCCGGCCCAGCAGGTACCTGCAGGGAGCAGAACGGACGCTTATCCACGCCCCGGCTCTAGGACCCAGAGGGCCCTGCTACCCCATACTGTCCCGCTCCCCCCGCAAAAAAAAACAAACTCACAGGCTGCGAAGTCCCCCAGCCAGACATGCTACCCGCACCCCGGGTCCAGGGCTCGCTCCCTCCTAGGGTAAGGTGCCCCGATCGTCCCGCTTTGGGCGGGCCAGTCCCGATTTCTAACAATCGCTCCCGCGTCCCGCAGCGTTTAAAAAAAAAAAAAAAAAAAAAAAAGTCCGGATTTTTGGAAAGATGGAAAAGATTCTTTCCAAAAATAAATAAATAAATAAATCGGGACTTTTTAAAAACGCCACGGGATGCGGGAGAAATTGTTAGAAATCGGGGCTGTCCCGCCCAAAGCGGGACGCTCTGGGCACCTTATGAGGGTCCCAGATCCACGCGGGGCCCGGGATGCGGGCGGCCGCTACCTCAGCAGCTCGGGGTCCACATCGGACGCGTCGTCGCCGTCGTCCTCGGCGTCGGGGCCCGCGGGGCCGTCGTCGTAGATGGGGGGCCGGGGCCGCAGCGCCGCGGGGGGCACCGGGGCGGGCGCCAGCTGCGCGGCCAGGGCGGCGGGGTCCAGGCGCGCGCGGAGCAGGGCGCGGGCCAGCTGCGCGGCGGGCGCGTCGGGGTCGTCCTCGGGGCCCGGGGCCGCGGCGGGGTCGGCGGCGCGGGGGGCGCCCCAGCCCCGCAGCAGCTGCGCCAGCACCCGCGCCTGCTGGTCCTCCGCCTCCCGCGCCTCGGCCCGCGCCCGCTCCTGCCGCTCGGCCTCCAGCAGGTGCGCCAGCGCCCGGGCCAGCTCCTGCGCCGCCGCCGCCTCGCCCCGCGCCGCCCGCCGGAAGCGCCGCGCCGCCCCCGCCTCGCCCAGGGCCGCCGAGGCCGCGCCCGGGCCGCGGGGATCCTGCGGGAAGACAAGGTGGGGGGGGGCGGGGAAAGAGGGGTCCGTCAGGCCAGGGACCCCAAACCCGGGGACCCTCCAAGGCCCTGTGGCTTCTCAGATATACCCAGGCAGCCCTGGCCGGTGTGGCTCAATGGGTAGAGCATCGGCCTGCCGACTGAAGGGTCCCGGGTTCGATTCCGGTCAAGGGCATGGACCTTGGCTGCGGGCACATTCCCAGTGGGGGGGGGGTGCAGGAGGCAGCTGATCGGTGTCTCTAACTCCCTATCCTTTTTCCTTCCTCTCTGTAAAAATCAATAACACATATTTTTTAAAAAGAAAAAGGAAAAAGAAATTAGTGTCAAAGGCCCCACTCGGCTGCCTTGTAGGAAGAGGGCCCTGTGAAGGCATTCAGGTGCTGTTTTAAATAAAAGGTGCCTTGCCCTAGCCGGTTTGGCTCAGTGGACAGAGTGTCGGCCTGAGGACTGAGGGATCCCAGGTTTGATTTCGGTCAAGGGCATGTACCTTGGTTGCGGGCACATCCCCAGTGGGGGGTGTGCAGGAGGCAGCTGATGGATATTTCTCTCTCACCGATGTTTCTGACTCTATCCCTTTCCCTTCCTCTCTGTAAAAAATCAATAAAATATATTTACACACACACACACACACACCTAGGCACCCCTAAGGCCACTGGAGACCCCCAAATATCTCCAGACACACTTAAGACCACAAAAGACCCCTCCATTCCTCCCACATAGCAATTTCCTAGCAATTCAGAACTTGTTCAGGGCTTCTGAAAATGGCAGATAAGACAGCTCTACACTTTTCTATGTTACTATTGCGGACAATGGGGACCTATGTTTGCATTTTATAGGTTCCTGTTGTCCACTTGTTTTACCCAGAGGTTGCTGACTTCACACCTCGCTGTTGGGAATCTGGATCTACACCAGTCCCTTCAAAACATCCTTTCTTTTTTCTGTTTTGTCTCCCCGCAACCCCTACCCCCCATCTTCTGCACTGAGTCCATTTTGAGCGAATGTACAATGTTTAACCAGTCTTCAATTGGTGAACATTTGGGGTGTTACCGGTTTAGCTCAGTGGATAGAGCATCGACTGCGGACTGAAGGGTCCCGGGTTCGAATCTGGTCAAGGGCATGTACCTTGGTTGCGGGCACATCCCCAGTAGGGGGTGTGCAGGAGGCAGCTGATCAATGTTTCTATCTCATCGATGTTTCTAACTCTCTATCCCTCTCCCTTTCTCTCTGTAAAAAAAAAAAAAAATCAATAAAATATATATATATTTAAAAGGAAATAAAAGAGCCGAGACCAGTTTGGCTCAATGGATAGAGCATCGGCTTGGGGACTGAAGGCCTGGGTTCGATTCCGGTTAAGGGCATGTACCTTGGTTGAGGGCACATCCCCAGTGGGGGGCATGCAGGAGGCAGCTGATCAATGTTTCTATCTCATTGATGTTTCTAACTCTCTATCCCTGTCCCTTTCTCTCTGTAAAAAAAAAAAAATCAATAAAATATATATATTTAAAAGGAAATAAAAGAGGATATCAAAAGTACGAACCAGGACATAAATCTGACCATGAATGAAGATTTGAGAAATAAATATCTAGATTCTAGAACATCTAAGAATATATTTTAAATCAAATTACATTGAACAACTAAAGGGGCAAGTTAAACAGATTAGACACACACAGGAGCCAGGACTGAAGAGAGCGCAGAAACAGATGCACACAGATTGACACTCGCTACATGACAGAGGCAGGGCAGTGGGGACAACCCAGACTTCTTCGCTACCATGCAGGAACCACTGATCCAAATTTGGGGAAAAGGAAAAGAAATACATTTGACTACATTAAAATTGAGAATTTCTTTTTGTCCGAAGAATGAAAAGTAGCCCAGGCCAGTGGCTCAGTTGGTTGGGGCATCGTCCCACTCTGGCGCGTGCAGGAGACAACCCAACCCTGTTCCTCTCTCACGTTGACGTTTCTCTCTCACTCTAAAAATCAATACAATAAAATAAAATTCACTTTTAAAATAAGAACCAGCCGAATCTGGTTTGGCTCAGTGGATAGAGCATCAGCCTGCGGACTGAAAGGTCCCAGGTTCGATTCCGGTCAAGGGCATGTACCTTGGTTGTGGTGGTGTGCAAGAGGCAGCTGGTCAATGTTTCTCTCTCATCGATGTTTCTAGCTCTCTACCCCTCTCCCTTCCTCTCTGTAAAAAATCAATAAAATATATTTAAAAATAAAAATAAGAACCAAAAGTAAGCCAGAGTGGGAGAATATGCCTGCAACACAAAATGAATGAAGAGTTAGTATTCAATATTCAAAGAACATTTAGAAGCAATAAGAAATAGGCAAAACTCATGATCAAGCATTTCACAAAAAGGAAACAAAAACAGTTACTAAACATATGAAACATATAAACTTAAGTAGTGATCAGGAAAATGCAAATTAAAATACCAGTGAGGTACGATGCATAACACAGCCAAAAAGTTGCTAAAAAGGCAAAAAGTCTTGCCCTAACCGGTAGATAGAGCGTCGGCCTGCGGACTGAAAGGTCCCGGGTTCGATTCCAGTCAAGGGCATGTACCTTGGTTGCGGGCACATTCCCAGTGGGGGGTGTGCAGGAGGCAGCTGATCGATGTTTCTCTCTCATCGATGTTTCTAGCTCTCTACCCCTCTCCTTCCTCTCTGTAAAAAATCAATAAAAATATATATATATATTTTAAAGTAAAAAAGCATCCATAAACCATGGCATACTCGTATGCTTTTTAAATTTTTCTATTTATTGATTTTTCAGAGAGCGAGGTCTGTTGCTCCATTTCTTTATGCATTCGTTGGTTAATTCTCATGTGGGCTCTGAGCAGTTATCGAACCCGAAACCTTGGTGTAGCAGGACAACGCTCTAACCAACTGATCTACCTGGCCAAGGCACTCATATACTAATGATATACTCATAGGGTGGAATAGTATGCAGTAATAAAAAATGAATTATAGGCCCTAGTTAGAGCATCATCCCAATATGCCAAGGTTACAGGTTAGGGCAAATGAATGAATCTCTCTTTCTCTCTCTCTTTCCTCCTTCTCTCTCTCTCTAAACTCAATGAATAAAAAGGATTAAAAATGAATTATAGCCACACACTTCAATATGGAGGTTATCTCATAACCAGTGTAGAGAGAGAAAAGGAATTCCACTGGAGATACCTGAGACTAAGTCACCTAATGACTTCCTAGTGATGACCAGAGACCAGAACCGCTATGATTCCATTTCTATGAGGAAAAACTAAGATATTGTGTCTGTCATAAGGTACAAACAAAGGTAAGGGATCAAAGAACAGGAAATGTAGGATCGTTATTGGGGAAGCTAGGGGCTTCTCTGGTCACATTCTGTTTCTTAAACTGAGTGGTAGATACCCATGGGGGTTATTTTCTCTTTACTCCTTACACTGAACATGTAAGTTAATTCTATTATGTCATAAATACAATATTTAATAGTTTTTGAAATCCTCCAGCTCTTCAGAGGATGTGCCCCAAGTGCCCTTGGCATCCACCCCCCCCCCCCAGCTCCCAAGGAATCACAATCACCAGCAATCACAGCCTCACACACACACATGGACTGACAGGCCTTGAGATGTCACACATGCAACCCAGCAGTGCTCATGCACGGGAAAAGAACTGCACGCATTCACGCATCGCTGCCCATGCAGTTACCATGGCCAAGCTATCCAGATGCAAGGACACGTCCCACCCCCTCAAAGACACAATGCAGCAGAGACATGGTCCCTCTTCCCACAGTGACAGGGCTGCACAGAGACACAGGGACAAACAGCCTCACGAGCACACGTCCAACATCGCGGTCACTCCGTCTAACAGACCCGAAATGGACCCGGGGATGCAAAGACCACGCCTTCCCAAGCAAAGGCATCCGCGTGCGCGCACACACGCGCGCATGCACGCTCACACACACAAACACAGACACGCCCAAAGGTCACGCCATTGCTATGGAAGTCACAAACACACACAGGGTGTTCCTAAGAAAGGGCACACAAAAGCACACTGCACAGCCGGGCCCAACAGAGGACACGCACAAGGACACACGCACAAGGACACCGCACCGCACCGCTGTCATCACATGGCACGCGCACACGAATGGATGCGCGCATCCCTTTCCGTTATGTGTGCTGGGCCCGTGGACAGCGCCAGGGATGGGCAGGGCGCGGCTGCGGGCTGAGCCCAAGGTACTGCCCCCCGAATGCCCAGACACCCAGGCCACTGGACCCCGGGCCACCCTAACAGATGTCTCCGCACAGCCGGGGAGCCAGGGCCAGCGAGGCTGGGTAGCATCCTCCCCACCCCCATCGCCCGCCCGGGTCGCACCTTTACCCGTGCACAGAGAACGGAGGGAGGCCGGAGTAAGCCCAGCAGCAGCAGGACCAGAAGGCCGACGCCCCCGGCCCGCGGCCCGCCGAGCAGTGGCGACCCCGCCATGCTGCCCCAGCGAGCCGGGCTCCGGACGGGCGGACTGGCTGGCAAATGCGCAGCGCCTGGGCGAGCGGTCCAAGCTGCGATGCTCTGCGACTGCGCACGCCGGGGTGGGGGGTGGGGGCAGCTGCCATCTCCCGCTCACCCCCTCCCGCCACTAGACGCAGGCGCATCCTCTGAGCTCCCCCTGCAACCTTTCCATCCCGCCCGTCTCCATGGAGATGCCCAAGGGGCAAGGTGGAGAGCTGGAGACTGTGATGGCGGTTGCCATGGCACTTGGAGGGCAGTTGCCCGGGCAACAGACCTTGCTGTCGCCTTAACAAACAGACTGGAAAAATTGACTCAGATGAGTGGAATGGGGGTCTGGTCCCCCCTCTTCTGCCTCGAAGAGCAGATCTATGGCTTTGTTTACTGGATGAGCAGTTACAGAATGCCTCTGCGGACCAAGCCCTTCACAGGGCATTGGGTTCCGTTCGGTGATGTGACCATGGACCACTCAGTCCACCATTCTAAGGCTCCCCTCATCCCCTGCATAAAGGGGTTACTAGTAATGCCTCTCATAGCGACTTTAATAAGAATGACACACAGTAGGAGCTCAATGCCGCTCCTTTCCATCCCTGTCCTTATGTCTTTGCTAGCATCTTCATCCCTCCCTATGGCTCTCCCTGGTTCTCTTTGTCCTTCTGTGCCCGTGCTGGCAACTGTCTTCCTCTCCCATCTGTCTCTCCCTGCCCCTCTTTCTCTCTCTCTTTACAACCCTCCTACAGTCTCTGTCTTTATTTTGTTGTCTGCATATATTTGTTTTTATATAAATACATAGATAGCTAGGTTTTTACCCATTCATGGTTCCAGAGAGAGTTTCAAGCCCCTTAAAATGGCACTTCAAGGAAAAAAAATCTTTGGTAAAACTGTGTGTCCATGGGAAGACAATGTTAGTGGTGATATATGGGTGGGGAGATAACTAATGATTTGTCACTTTCTTCTTTACACTTTTCTCTGTTGTCTGGGGGGAAAAAAGTTGCAGTATGTATTACTATTATAATCAGATAAAGATATTTGCATTTTGGAGTTAAAAATGAAGTAAGGTAACATGGCATAAATTAAAAGTGAAGAAAAGAAAGATCCATTTATGTTGCTGAGAGTTTATCTAATCCATTGATTCTAACTGCCTCCATCTCCTCAGTATTACAAACAACTTTACAATGAAAATCATTATATGCATCTCCTTATGGAGCTGAAGATTAAATACCCAGGGCTAGCCGAAACCGGTTTGGCTCAGTGGATAGAGCGTCGGCCTGCAGACTGAAAGGTCCTGGGTTTGATTCTGATCAAGGGCATGTACCTTGGTTGAGAGCACATCCCCAGTGGGGGGTGTGCAGGAGGCAGCTGATTGATGATTCTCTCTCATCGATGTTTCTAACTCTCTATCCCTCTCTCTTCCTCTCTGTAAAAAATCAATAAAATATATTTTTTTAAAAAAGAATCAACCAATAAATGTGTCTCTCTCACATTGATGTTTCTCTCTTTCTCCTCCTCCTCTTCCCATTCTTCCTAAAAAAAAAAAAAAAAAAAAAAAATCAATGGAAAAAATATCCACGGGGGGGTGGTGAGGGCATGATTGGGGCGCTGGAGGGGGGGGGGATAAGGACACATTTGTAATACCTTAATCAATAAAGAAATTTTTAAAAGAAAGAATATCCAGGGGTAAGGATTAACAACAACAAAAATAAAGGTCTGTGAATAGCTTACATCAGCTCTGCAAAAGGGGAAACATCACCTTACACCTGTCAGAATGGCTATCATCAATAAGTCAGTAAACAGTCTTGACCAGTGTGGCCCCGTTGGTTGAAGTGTTGTCTCACATACATGCCTGGGTTGCCAGTTCAGTCCCCAGTTGTGGTGGGTGCAACCAATCAATTTGTGCCCTGACCAGGAATCGAACCTGCTACCTTTTGGTGTATGGGACCACCCTCCAACCAATTTAGCCACCTGGTCGGGTGATAGGGTAACTGGGAAAGCACCCTTGAATGTCATACTTCCAATATATAATCACTGGAGGCTTGGTGCACGAAATTTCATGCACTGAGGATCCCTCAGCCCAACCTTCGCCCTCTCAAAGTCCGAGACCCCTCACTCCTTACCACCCGCCTACAGCGGTGGCTGGAGAGGCTCCAGCCACCACCACTGTGCTCGCCAGCCGTGAGCCCGGCTTCTGGCTGAGATATGCTCTCCCCGTGGGAGCGCACTGACCACCAGGGGGCAGCTTCTACATTGAGCAGCTGTCCCCTGGTGGTCAGTGCGCATTATAGTGACTGGTCTTTCTGCATTTGGTCGATTTGCATATTGGCCTTTTATTATATAGGATGGCAAAGACTGTAAAGGCAGGGTGTGGATAGGAACCAAAGACTCAAGTCCCTTTTATTTTAAAATATATATATTTTATTGATTTTTTACAGAGAGGAAGGGAGAGGAAGAGAGAATTAGAAGCATAGATGAGAGAGAAACACCGATCAGCTGCCTCCTGCACACTCCCTACTGGGGATGTGCCTGCAACCAAGGTACATGCCCTTGACCGGAATTGAACCTGGGACCCTTCAGTCTTCAGGCCGATGCTCTATCCACTGAGCCAAACCAGTCAGGGCTCAAGGCCCTTCAAATACTCCTAAAGGGGCCATGAGCATGTTCTTGCTGTTTCTTTTCCAGGTGAATTAAGCTTCTCCTGAACTGATAGGGGAGATGGCTCCCTTTGATGTTCCTGATGGGGTATCTCATCTTTCCAATAACAGGGACATGCATTGCACATATTTAAATAACTCTGGAATTGCTCAGCTGACGGGTCAGTGGTTGAGCATCGACTTATGAACCAGTAGATCTTGGTTCAATTCTAGGTCAGGGCACATGCCTGGTTGTGAGCTTAACCCCCGGAGTATGGCATGCAGGAAGCAGCCAACCATGATCCTCTCTCATCATTGATGTTTCTGTCTCTCTCTCCCTCTCCTTTCCTTTTTAAAATAAAAAAATATATTTTAAAAATAACTGTTATTTTGAAACTTATAGTTTTTATGCTTTATAGTAGCTTTATTTTTTTACAATATACAAAATAAATCCATTACCAACCATTTACATGCAATAGACATTAATATTTCAAGAAAAATATTTTAAATATAATAATGTGACATGCAATGAAAATTAATATTTCAAAAAATATTTTAAATATAATATTACCAAAACTGTACTAACATAGTATAATATCACAAAAGTTGTAGGAAATATTAAAAATCTGCAAATAGTAGGATGACTTCTATTATATGCTAAAATATTTTTTCTCTGGCTCTATTTTTGTTCATCAGTTTATGTTGTTCATTATATTCCACAATGAGTGAGATCATGTGATATTTATCTTCCTCTGACTGGCTTATTTCGCTTAGCATAATGCTCTCCAGGTCCATCCATGCTGTAGCAAATGGTAAAAGTTCCTTCTTTTTTACAGCAGCATAGTATTCCATTGTGTAGATATACCACAGTTTTTGAATCCACTCATCTGCTGATGGGCACTTAGGCTGTTTCCAAATTTTAGCTATTGTAGATTGTGCTGCTATGAACATAGGGGTGCATATATTCTTTCTGATTGATGTTTCTGGTTTCGTAGGATATATTCCTAGCAGTGAGATTACTGGGTCAAATGGGAGTACCATTTTTAATTTTTTTTTACATAAGTTTTTATTGATTATTTATTTATTTTTAATAATATATTTTATTGATTTTGTAAGGGGGGCCGGGAGAGAGAGAGTTAGAAACATCAATGAGAGAGTCATCGATCAGCTGCCTCTTGCACACCCCCTACTGGGGACATGCCCACAACCAAGGTACGTGCCCTTGACCGGAATCAAACCCAGGACCTTTCAGTCCCCAAGCCGACGCTCTATCCATTGAGCCAAACCGGTTTCGGCTCCATTTTTAATTTTTTGAGGAAACTGCACACTGTTCTCCACAGTGGCTGTCCCAGTCTGCATTCCCACCAGCAGTGCACGAGGGTTCCTTTTTCTCCATATCCTCACCAGCACTTGTCGTTTGTTGATGATAACCACTCTGACAGGTGTGAGGGAGGTGGTACCGCATTGTTGTTTTGCTTTGCATCTCTCGGATGATTACCGACTGAGCATATTTCCATATGTCTCTTGGCCTTCTGTATGTCAAAAACTCTGTATAGTTTTAACCCTCAGAAACTCGACAGCCACAAAAAAAAAAAAGCAAACTCTACAGCCATTATCATTTCTAATTTTCAGGAAAAGTAGACAGACCAAACGAAATTCTAAAAACAAAATTAACCAAGTTCTGAGAAAGCCTCAGACTCCTCAGGACTGAAGTGCGGCCATTAGCCTTGATGGCAATCAGATCTAATTTCCCTGGGACCACCTCTTGTTAGCTGCTTCTCGGTTAATAACAGACTACCCGCCGTGTTTTGTAATTTCACTTCGATCCTAGTGTCTACACCTTTACAGACAAATGTGATTTAACACAAGTGCAGTCTCCGATGGCGCCTGCACATGTCTGTTTCCAAAGCCCCCACCTAAGCAAAGCCGCCTGGAGCAGAGATGGAAAACACAGCCATGGGCTTCAAACTGCGGGTTCTTAGGAATTCTCCAGAAGCTGATGGCTGCAGACCGCTGAGCCAGATTTTAATGCAAGCGATCGGTGCACATCATGGATTAATGTTAAGTACCAGGGAGGCATTGTGGGTTTGATCCCCATCAGGGCACACGCAAGAATCAACCAATCAATGTGGCGCTCTGATATTGACTATATCAGAAGATCTCACTTCTGATCTAGTCAGTATTATTCTGCCCTGGCTGGGTAGCTCAGTTGGTTGGAGATCATCCCCACACACCAAGGTTTTGGGTTCAAGCCCGGGTCAGGGCACAATCCTGGGTTAGGGCACGTCAACCAATGAATGCATAAATAAATCAAACGACAACTTGATGTTTCTCTCTGTGTCTCTGCCTGTC